TGCTCACCACGCTTTATGTTCAAGTTCCACTGGCAAGTGGAAGGCCTTTCCAAACACCAACTTATATGGTGACATACCAATTAGTGTTTTAAAAGTAGTTCTATAGGCCCAGAGTGCATCATCTAGCTTTTTCGCCCAATCAGTTCTTGTGGCGTTCACAGTCTTGGTTAGCACACTCTTTATCTCTCTGTTAGGCACTTCAACCTGCCCACTAGTCTCCGGGTGATAAGAGGTAGCCACCTTGTGGCGTACATCATACTTTGCGAGCAACTTCTCGAAGGCTCTATACAGAAGTGAGTGCCTCCGTCACTGGTAATCGCTCTTGGTGTCCCAAAGCGGGTGAATATGTTCTTCTTCAAAAATCCCACCACCACTCTTGCATCATTAGTGGGCAACGCTGCAGCTTCTACCCATTTGGACACGTAATCCACAGCATCAAGTATGTACTTATTGCCAAAGGAGCTTATAAAGGGACCCATAAAGTCAATCCCCCAGACATCAAACACTTCCACCTCTTGAATCGGGTTCATGGGAATCTCATGGCGACGGGAAATGTTCCCGGTCCGCTGACATTCATTGCAGCCCTTCACCCATTGGTGCGCATCTTTAAACACCGCTGGCCAAAAAAATCCAGCCTCTAGCACTTTTGCAGTTGTCCTGACCCCTCCAAAATGTCCTCCACACGCCGATGCGTGACAAGCCTGCAAAACAGAAGATTGTTCTATCTCGGGATACACCTCCGGATCATATTATCAACACATATTCTAAAGAGATAGGGCTCGTCCCAATAATACATGCGGCAATCACGATAAAACTTTTTCTTTTGTACAGATTAAAGGTCATAGGGAACTATACCGCAGGCCTGGTAATTCGCGAAGTCTGCATACCATGGCGCTTCCTCAAGACTAGTAGCGAGCAGCTGCTCGTCTGGAAAGGTTTCCAGAATATCCTCAACCTCTACCGCATTTTCAGCTCCCTCAAGTCGCGATAGATGATCAGCGACTTGGTTCTCTGTGCCCTTACGGTCACAAATTTCAAGGTCGAATTCTTGCAGTAGCAACACCCAACGAGTCAGGCGTGGCTTAGACTCCTTCTTCTAAATCAAGTACTTGAGAGCTGCATGATCAGTGTAAACAATTACCTTGGAGCCAATCAGATAGGATCTGAACTCGTCGAAAGAAAACACCACAGCCAACATCTCCTTCTCAGTCACAGTATAGTTCAACTGGGCTCCACTCAGCGTTCTACTAGCATTGTAGATTGGATGCATCAGCTTATCTTTCCTCCGTCCCAGCACTGCCCCCACTGCGTAGTCACTGGCATCACACATGAGTTCGAATGGCTGCTCCCAGTTGGGGGAAACTATGATAGGTGCTGTGACCAGCTTCTTTTTCAGCTCCTCGAATGCTACCCTGCACTCATCAGAAAACAAGAAAGGGTGATCTTTTTCTAACAACTTACAGAGAGGGTTGGAAATTTTTGAGAAGTCTTTTATGAATCTTCGGTAGAAACCGGCATGCCCGAGGAAGCTCCTGATTGCTTTGACTGAAGTTGGAGGAGGTAGCTTTGCTATCACATCCACTTTAGCACGATTCACCTCAATTCCTTTGCTTGACACCCGGTGCCCCAAGACTATGCCCTCTTGTACCATGAAGTGGCACTTCTCCCAATTCAGAACCAGGTTAGTTTCGATACACCGTTTCAGCACACGAGTCAGATTTATCAGGCACTCATCAAATGAGTTCTCCACCACTGAGAAGTCATCCATGAACACCTCCATTATATCCTCTACCATGTCAGTGAATATGGCCATCATGCACCGTTGGAATGTGGCGGGTGCATTGCATAGGCCAAAGGGCATCCTCCGAAAGGCATAAATGACATACGGGCAAGTGAAAGAGGTCTTCTCTCTATCCTCCGGTGCAATGGAGATCTGATTGTACCCTGAGTACCCATCCAGAAAATAGAAGTGTGACCTCTCTGCCAATCTGTTTAACATCTGATCAACGAAGGGAAGTGGGAAGTGGTCTTTACAGGTGGCTAGATTCAACTTTCTATAATCCATGCAAATTCTCCAGCCCATGACGGTTCTTGTAGAGATCAATTCATTGTTATCATTCTTAACTACCGTCATGCCACCCTTTTTAGGTACACATTGAACTGGGCTAAACCAGCTACTGTCCGAGACTGGGAAAATGATTCCCACATCTAACCACTTGATTACTTCTTTCTTCACCACTTCCTTCATATTGGGGTTCAGCCTTCTTTGGTGTTCCCTGGAAGGTTTATGTCCCTCTTCCAGTAGAATTTTGTGCATACACTAGGCGGGGCTGATCCATTTTATGTCTGCCATGGTCCACCCAATGGCAGTCTTACACTCCTTAAGTACCTACAATAGTTGTTGTGCTTGCACATCTAACAAACTAGATGAGATAATAACAAGTAATGTAGAGTCAGGTCCAAGGAACTCATACCTGAGATGGGCGGGCAGTGGCTTTAACTCTAGCTTTGGTGGTTCTTTGATGGATGGCTTGGTTGGAGGAGTTTCTCGATTTTCCAAGTGCAAGGGCTCAAATTCTAGAGTTCTATCCCAGAACCCTCTACCCTCTAATGCCAACACCCATTCCGCCAGATCCTCTCCATTTACCTCATCCAAATTCATCAAACATGCAGCAAGGGGGTCCTAAATAGTCAGCATCGCATCATCAGTCTCTACAATTACATCCACGACATCAATAAGAGAGCAATTGGCGAATTCACTTGGTCGCCTCATAGATTTCTGCACGTTGAATGTTATTTCTTCGTCGTTCAGTCTCATCTTGAGCTCCCCAGTCTCACAATCAATGAGAGCTTGCCAAGAATGGTCTTCCCAAAATTATGGGAATCTCTTCATCCACCTTGCAGTCTAGGATCACAAAATCTATAGGGAACACAAATTTCCCTACCTGAATCAACACATCATCCAGGATGCCAGAGGGTCGTTTCACAGTCCTGTCAGCTAGCTGCAACAACATAGAGGTGGGTCTAGCTCTTCCAATGCCCAGCCTCTTATAAATTGCCAGGGGCATAAGATTGATGCTGGCCCCTAGATCACATAGTGCCTTAGCAAAAGCAAAATTACCTATAGTGCATGGAATTGTGAAGCTCCCTGGGTCAGACAGCTTTTCAGCAATTGGTTTAGTCACCACCGCACTACAGGTCTGAGTAAGAGTAAGTGTGGCCAAGTCTTGGAAATCAAACTTTCTGGACATCAGGTCCTTCATCATTTTTGCATATCCAGGCATCTCTTTTAAAGCTTCAATCAATGGTATGTTTACCTGGATTTGTTTCAGCATCTCAAAGAACTTCTTGTATTGCTCCTCCTTTTGGTACTTAGCTAGCCTCTGAGGGAAGGGTGTAGGAGGTTTCTTCTTCCCAATCATTTGGGATTGATCTTTATCAGCTGCCACAATAACTACTGGCTCCTGGGCTGTCTCAGCTTCTTTTTCGGTCTCAATCTGAGTGCTATTTCCTTCCTGGGCAGGCTGGACTGTCACCTCTGTCAGTTTCGTTAACTAATCCAGCTCAATGGGCATTGGTATGAGTGTCTCAGCCTGTCTAGTTTCTCGAGCCCTCTCCTGCTCTACGTCCAAATCTCTGCCATTACGTAGACTCACCGCCATCAACTGCTTCGGGCCTTGATCTTTTGGATTTATCTGTGTGTCTGCCAGTAGTGTCCCATGAGGACGATTGTTCAGAGACATCGAAATTTGGCCCACCTGCACTTCAATATTCTTGATTGCTGCATCATGTGCATCTACTCTCTCATTAATTTTAGCATTGGACCCAATAACCTGCTGCATCATTCCTTCAAGTCTAGCAAACCCATCTTCTTGCCTTCCACCATGCTGCTGCTGAGGAGGGTGATACCCCTGCTGCTGATTCTGATTATTATATACCTGTGGCCTTGGGTAAGGAGCCATATTGTTAGGGGGTCTCATACCTCCCATGTTCCCAGTGTTGAACTGTGGCTGGGCTGGCCTGTACTGCTGATTCTGCTGGCTCCAATTCTGACCACCCTGTCTCTGGCCTCTATAATTAGACACATAGTTCATGTCTTCAGGATAATGATGATGATCAGGTTCTGCATTCCACTGGTTACCAATTGGCTGATTGATGCAAGATGTGCATAGACCCCCATTGGTAGTATCCACGATGTGTACCCGTTGCTTCTGCCCTGACTCTTCCACCTTTTTGGTAAGTATAATCATATGTGTCAATAAGGTGGCCATATTTTCAGCCATAGAGTTAGATGGATCTAAAGGCACTGAGTGAACCACTGGGGTGATAGGTGCATTCCTGGTTATCCATCCCGAATTCTGTGCCATCTTGTCAAGCAGACTCTGGCCTTCTCTCCATGTTTTGCTCAAAAATGCTCCACCAGCTGAAGTATCAACTATGTTCTTCACACTATCTGACAATCCCATGTAAAACCGTTGTCCCAACATCAGATCTGGGACACCATGGTGTGGACATACAACTAGCATCCCCTTAAAGCGTTCCCATGTTTCATGCAGTGTCTCCATTGGTCTCTGTTTAAAACTCAAAATTTCATCAATTTGTTGAGCAGTCTTGTTGGGTGGGTTGAACTTGTTGTGGAATTGTTTGACTAACTCCTCCCAAGTTGTTATGGAATTTATGGGGAGTGAGTTTAGCCAGGTTTGCGCAGCTCCTGTTACTGAGAATGGGAAAAACAACAAATTGATTGCTTCCTGAGTTACGTTGGGCTACCTTTGGGTTTTGCATATTGACAGGAACTTCTTCAAGTGTTGCTGAGGATCTTCGACTTGTGACCCCAAAAATTGTCTCTTGTTTTGCAACAAGTGCAACATGTTATTCGTGATTTGGAATGATTCAGCCTGTATCTGCGGGACTACAATCGCTGTGGCCAGATTTTCAGCTGTGGGTTGTGCCTAGTCATACAGAGCAGAATCTGGCACAGGAGGTGCCGGTGGATTGTTTTAGTGATCTCCCATGTTCGGTTCGGATTGTTCAATTGTTTGTTGCTGTCTGCTTTTCAGGTTGGCCCAGTTCAAGGCCTTAAAAACTTTTTCGGGATTTGATAGAGCTTCGAATACTTCACTAGTTCTCGTTGAGTTTCTAGGCATGCACCTGTGCAACCAAGTCAGCAAACGTTAAAATTTCAATGTATAGATTGGGTATAGAGAAAACTGACTACACTAAGAATTTTTGTATTTCTTTCAATTGTAATTGATAACACCGTTAATTCCCCAGCAACGGCGCCAAAATTTGATCACGCCCAACTATGCCTTATAAATGGACACGCGGACGTTGCAAATATAATTTGAGTATTTATGCCCAGAGTCGAACCCACAGGGAATTAACCTATGAATTACTTTCATTGGACTTACTAAATTCTATGGAATCAACTTCCCCAAACGTTGTGAATAACAGTTGATGGTATTACTAATAACTAAGATTAAAAGTAAATAAACAGCTGAAAACTAACTAAGCTTGAGTTGTAAACAATTATGAGAAGGTTCTAAGGTAGTGATTTCCCCTATTGATGGAATCCCTTCCGGTTATGTTTCATATAGATTCACCAAAATATCTCTATCAATCATGAGCACTCCTTTTACCGTAAATCTCTCCCGAGTAATCACGATAATTTACTAGACGCACTCTCCCGAGATACGCTAGCTGGATTTGTTTATTACAGCTCACTTTAGATTGCACCCAAGGCTTCGTTATCCCTAATCCCGCCTATAAACCCGCGGTTACAGATCCCTCTTATACTTTGGGAGTGATGTTGTCCAACAACTACATAAATATGCACTCTCTTCCGAGTTATGCACACTAAATAGGCACAGCTAATTGAGGATCCTGTCAATTAACTACAACAAACACGTAGTTGAACAAATAAAGATTAAACTAGCAATCTATATTAACATAATCAAGAAGTTCATCCTTCAATGGGTTCCATCAAAACCCTAGACAAAGGATTTAGCTACTCATGACAAAACGAGAATAAACTACTAAATTATTCATAATGGGTAATTGCAAGAAAATAAAAGAGATAGAAAAACTCTAATGTTTGGTTGCTCTTCTCACACTTGTTCTTGCCTCCAAAAGTAGTCTAAAACAAGCTTCAAACAATCTTGGGCGAGTTTCTAACGCTTATAAGGATTTTACAAAAGTTTCCCCAAAATTACACTTTGGCCCCCAAATTTCCAGGTGCGTGAACAGTTCACCGCGGTCGACCGCGGTGAAGGCTGACCATTCTGTTTTGTGTTTTATTCCACCGCGGTCGCGGTGTAATTCTTGCCCAGGCCATTTTCTGCTCCTTTGTGCTCGGGTACTTCTTGAGTGGGTGTTTTCTTCACATTATCGCCTCCAAAACACTCCATGCTACGTCCTCACATATAATACTCCTTCGAAACTAAAGAACACTATTTAAAGCATTTTGTTGGCAATTTACCTATAAAACAACAACAAAGCATGGTCATATTAAGGTGTAAATATCAACTATATAGCCTACAATCAACACGCAACGCTTGTGACCTCAACCATAGCTTGGGCAGTCCGCATCTTTTCTCTGCTTCTACACTTTAGAGCTCACATCTTTTCTTGTTTCTTCTTTTCTTTTATTTGGGTTGAGACTTCTTCTTTTGGTCACCTCAAACCTTGTCCTCACGGTAAGAACCTGTTCAAGCACCAAAGCAAACAAACGAACGAAATTTTCTGTCCCAGTTTTCACTAGGAAAAATTTCGTGAGTTATTGCAACAAAATCTAAGCTATTTCTTTATTGAAAGCAATAAAATTAGGATTGTGTATCCTTGGGAAAAAGAGATTAGGGAGTGGATCCCTATATCTATAATGAAATCAACTAGGGATTGGGGGCCCTAAATTGGAAAAATTGCCAGGTTATGCTGGAAAATAGCCGGGTTATGCCGTGAAAGGTAAAAAGGTCCTCGAATTATGCCGGGGAGGTCCATGGGTTATGCCGGAAAAGGTCATCGGGTTATGCCGGAAAAGAAAAAGGTCCTCGGGTTGTGCTGGGGACGATCATCAGGTTATGCCAAAAAAGGTCATCGGGTTATGCCGGAAAAGAGAAAAGTTCCCGGGTTATGTCGGGGAGGTCCAAGGGTTATGCCGGGAAAGGTCATCGGGTTATGCCGAAAATTTTAGAAGATCCTCGAGTTAGGACGGGAAAGATCATCGGGTTATGCCGGAAAAAAAGAAAAGGTCCTCGGGTTATGCCGGGGAGGATCATCGGGTTATGCCAGAAAAGAGAAAAAGTCCTCGGGTCATGCCGGGGAGGTCCACGGGTTATGCCGGGAAAGGTCATCGGGTTATGCCAAAAATTTTAAAAGGTCCTCGGATTATGCCGGAAAAGAGAAAAGGTCCTCGGGTTATGCCGGGGAGGTCCACGGGTTATGCCGGGAAAGGTCATCGGGTTATGCCGAAAATTTTAAAAAGGTCCTCGAGTTATGCTGTGGAGGTCCACGGGTTATGCCGGGAAAGATCATCGGGTTATGCCGGAAAAGAGAACAAAAGGGGCCTCGGGTTATGCCTGGGAGGTCCACGGGTTATGCCGGGGATAAACTAAGGAATGGAACCCTGTAATGGAAAAGACTACCAGGTTATGCTGGGAACGACTAGGGAATGGAACCCTATGTTGGAAAAACGTAGCTAGAGATTGGGGCCCTATGCTACTATGGTTTTGAATTTTCTTCTTCTTTCTTTTCATTTTACTTTTAACACTTTATTCAGGAGAATGCATAAAGAGTTTGAAAGGGACTTCCCTTTTTAGGGTTAACTTTTGCTGCAGGACCATTTTGGTTTTTGCAACACCTTGCTTTTATTGCGCCCGCTTCTTGAAAGGTTATCTTGGATTGCACCCATTTTCAAATCAAAGAACAATTTGTCAGTTTGAAACGGTGGTTGGTTTTGTTGCCTTGAGTGTTTTGATCTTGGCCCAACTCTTTTGATGAAGTCCTTTACTGCTCGCTGGCTTTCTAGAGACCGATCTCTCTTCTAAAACAAGTACCTTGACTTTTCCAAAACTTCACATGATGGTTGACCCGTGTGGGGCTTTGGCCTTTCTTTTCAATTTGCTTTTATGGGAACTTGACTTTGATTTCTTTCCTTTTCAAGAGTTTTTGACTCTGGAGCATTAGCCATCATAGCCAGTCGATATCGACTTGATGCACCTGCTGAGGCTGGGTGCCTTTACTTGGCTTTTGCTAAGCCGAACCCTGTAAAACCAATCTTGCCATCTTTTCTTTGTATTAGTTTCGTAGGAGGACTAAACCGAAAGGGATTCAAAGAAAAGTAACAAAGGACAGGATAATGAATTTAAAGAGAAGTGTCCCTTTCAGGGGAGGAAAGAAGGACTTATCTAGAGTGCATGCAGACTTCAATAGACATGGCATGCTTCTTGAACTGGATTCCCGATCTGTGCAACTATTCAATCTCTCATAAGCCCATTATGACTCGTGTTTTAAAACCGAGAAACCTTGCCAGGACCCTTTCAGTGCCAATGGTTGTATGGAATTCCTTCATCTCGATCAACGGCGCCCTTTACAGGTTTTCGCCAATTGACCTCTCTCATTTCTCTTCTCACCATCTCCTCATAGTGCTCTTTGTGAGTTTTCACTAACAAGACTCTCTCATTTTTAATTTCTTTGCTCATCATCGCTTTACGGTGCCCGTGTAGGTTTTCACCAATAATACTCTCTCATTTATTTCTCTCATCTTATTGCATCAAATCCAAGCAACCGGATTCTCCGATTCTCGAACATTCTCACTGATTGATCAGAAGGACTTGAACAGGATTTGGGGTAGAAAGAATTTGGATTGAATTACAACTTTGGAACCTTTCAGGCGAACCGTCGCCGAACCATTATAACATCTGCCCCAGTTTCACTTCTAGGGAAATTCGGATTTTTGTTTTGGTGTGACTGAACCCCAGAGAGAGGCTGTCTACGTATCCTTTCGGAATCAAGTCGAACGTAGTTCGGGGAAAACTTTGTTTTTGATTTTTTTTTGATTTTTTGATTTTTTTTACTAACGTTTTCGGGTTCCAAAAAGGGTAATCAAAGAAAGGTAACCGGATCAAAGGGTTAGCAAAGGGTAGAAGTGTTTGGGGTAGAGAGAATGAAAGCCTTCGTCATCCCAATCGGATAATACTGGTGCCGCAGAAAGATTAAACATAGTACCTTTTGACTGCGACTGCATTTACAGCTGTTTCGGGATCATTTCCTTCAATGTCTCCCAAGTACAATGCCCCTTTTGGCAACAATTTTCTTATAATGTATGGACCCTTCCAGTTTGGAGCGACCTTTCCTTTCGCTTCCTGGTGGTGAGGGAGAATATGCCTCAAAACGAGTTGCCCCACTTCAAAGTTCCTGGGCCGCACTTTCTTGTTGTAGGCACGGGCCATTCTTTGTTGATACAACTGCCTGTGGCAGACTGCGGGCATTCGCTTTTCATCAATCAAGGTTAACTGCTTTAGATGGGTTTTGACCCACTCACTGTCCTCAATTTTAGCTTCAACAATGATTCGGAGGGAACGGATTTCAACTTCTGCAGGTATTACAGCTTCAGTGCCATAAACCAAAAGATAGGGTGTTGCTCCAATCGATGTGCGCATAGTTGTGCGATATCCCATCAATGCAAACGGCAACTTCTCATGCCATTGTGTAGAACTTTGGATCATCTTTCTAAGAATCTTCTTGATGTTCTTGTTTACTGCTTCAACGGCGCCATTAGCTTTGGGCCGATAAGGGGTAGAATTCCGATGTGTGATCTTAAATTGTTCGCATATCTCCCTCATTAAATGACTATTCAAGTTTGCAGCATTGTCCGTAATGAGAGTTTTAGGAATACCAAAATGGCAAATAATGTTGGAGTGCACGAAGTCTACCACAGCTTTCTTTGTGACAACTTTGAGAGTGATTGCTTCAGCCTATTTTGTGAAGTAGCCGATGGAAACTAGTATGAATCTGTGCCATTTGAAGCTTTTGGCTCAATTGGCCCAATGATATCCATACCCCAAGCGACGAACGGCCACGGCGCCGACATAGGATGCAGTTCTGAGGGAGGTGCATGAATCAAGTCCCCATGTACCTGACACTGATGGCATTTTCGGACGAAGCTGAAGAAATCCTTTTCCATCGTGATCCAGTAATACCCTGCTCGAAGGATTTTCTTTGCAAGGACGTGTCCATTCATATGCGGCCCACATACTCCTGCGTGTACTTCATTCATGATTCTTCCGGCCTCTTGGGCATCCACACATCGTAAAAGGTTCAAATCTGGAGTCTTTTGTACAAAACTTCTCCGCTCAAGAAGAAACCACCGGCATGCCTTTCAATGGTTCTCTTTTGATCTTCACTGGCTTGCTCGGGATATTCCTTTGTTTTCAAAAACATCTTGATATCATGGTACCACGGCTGAACACTTGGCTCTGCTTCAACCGTATTGCAATAACCATGCCTTTCTCGGATTTGAATTTCCAACGGGTCAATGTGGACATTGCCTGGATACGACAACATCGAGGCCAAAGTGGCGAGTGCATCGGCTAACTTATTGTGAAACCGAGGGATGTACCTAAACTTAACGGATTTGAACCGTTTGCTAAGATCTTTCACATGTTGCCTGTATGGTATAAGTTTGACATCCCGAGTTTCCCATTCTCCCTGAGCCTGTCGGATGATCAGATCTGAATCTCCAATGATTACCAATTCTTTCACATCTTGATCAATTGCCATATTCATGCCCACAATGCAGGCTTCACACTCGGCAGTGTTGTTTCTGCGGAAAAACCGAAGTCGGGCTGTGGCTGGATAGTGCTGACCAGTGGGTGAGATTAGAGTTGCCCCAATCCTGACACCTTTTGCGTTCACCGCTCCATCGAAGAACATTTTCCAAGCATTGGTGTCTTCCGAAATTACCACAACTGAGTTTACTTCCTCGTCCGGAAAGTAAGTACTCAAAGACTGATATTCATCATCAACAGGGTTTGCAGCCAGGTGATCTACCAGAGCTTGAGCTTTCATTGTCGTGCGAGTGACATAGATTATGTCGAACTCAGTGAGCAGGATTTGCCATTTTGCTAACCTCCCCGTGGGCATCGGCTTCTGGAATATGTACTTTAAAGGATCCAGCCTGGTGATGAGGTAAGTGGTGTAGGCCAGCAGGTAATGCCTAAGCTTCTGAGCGACCCAAGTTAGGGCGCAACAAGTCCTTTCCAACAGGGTATATTTGGCTTCATAACTTGTGAACTTTTTGCTCAAATAGTAGATTGCTTGCTCTTTCTTCCCGATCACATCATGTTGCCTGAGGACACAGCCGAAGGAATTCTCCAAGACTGTCAGGTACAAAAACAAAGGCCTCCCAGGTTCGGGTGGGACCAAGACTGGCGGATTCGACAGATATTCTTTGATTTTGTCAAAGGCTTCTTGACACTCATCTGTCCATTTAATTGCTGCATCTTTCTTCAACAGCTTGAATATGGGCTCACATGTGGAAATCAATTGAGCAATGAACCGGCTGATGTAATTCAACCTCCCTAATAAGCTCATAACCTCTTTCTTTGTTCTTGGAGGAGGTAAATCCCGAATAGATTTTATATTCGTTGGATCTAGATCAATGCCCCTCCGACTAACTATAAATCCCAAAAGTTTTCCAGACGGAAATCCAAATGCACACTTAGCCGGGTTTAGTTTTAAATAATACTTGCTCAGATGCTCAAAGAACTTTCTCAAGTCTCAAACATGGTCATCCTGCGTCTTGGACTTAATGATCAAATCGTCCACATACACCTCGATTTCTTGGTGCATCATGTCATGAAAGATGGTAGTCATAGCTCTCATGTATGTTGCCCTGGCGTTCTTCAGACCAAAAGGCATGACCTTGTAACAATAGGTGCCCTAGGGTGTGGTGAAGACTGTCTTTTCCGCATCTTCTTCATCCATCAGGACCTGATGATATCCAGCATAACAATCTATAAAAGACTGTATCTCATGTTTAGCACAGTTGTCAACGAGGATGTGGATGTTTGGCAGAGGAAAGTTGTCCTTGGGACTTGCTTTGTTCAGATCCCGATAGTCAACACACACTAGGGTTTTCCCGTCTTTCTTTGGCACTGGGACTACATTAGCAAACCATGTGGTGTATCGGACCACTCTGATCACACCCACTTTCAACTGCTTGGTAACCTCTTTTTTGATCTTGTCACTAATGTCAGTTTTGAACTTTCTTTGTTTCTGCTAGACAGGGGGACAATCGGGGTAAGTTGGCAATTTGTGCACCACTAGATCAACACTTAATCCTAGCATATGATCGTAGGACCAAGAAAACACATCTTTGAATTCAAACAAAAGTTGGATCAGTGCATCCCTAGTTCTTTCATCTGGGTGAATGCTTATCATGGTTTCTTGGACCTCTTCTGAACTATCCAAATTTACTGGCTCGGTTTCATTTAGATTTGACTTAGGCTTATTCTCAAATTGTTCCAATTCTCGATTTATTTCCCTAGAAGCCACTTTTTCATCATATTCCGGTTCTTGATTCATTATTTCACAATTAGACAGCGTGTTTGGATCTGGGCATGAAGTCCGCAAGCATGTCATGTTATTTAAAGACGCATTATTAGAACTGAAAGAAGAAATAAGAAAAAGTAACAAAAATCAGAAAGAATAAAGAGAAAGGTGAACGATGAAATATTGATTTCATTTCATTGAATTTTGAAGATAAGAGGGTGTACATTGGAATTTAAAGACAGTGTAAAGAACCGACCGGTCGTTTTGAGCCCTAATGCATAGTTCAGCAGTTTGAGGCCATGAGCAGCTTCATTTCAGGTGTTATGACTTGTACGCGTGGTCGGAATTGGATTTCGGGAAGTTCGGAGTTGGTTTGGGAAGAGACTTCTCATTTCGAAAGCTTAAAGTTGAAAGAATTAACTTGAATTAGATTTTTTAGTAAACGACCTTGGAATCGGGATCTGAAGGTTCCAGTAGGTTCGTATGATGATTTCGGACTTGGGCGTATGCCCGGTTCGGGTTTTGGATAACCCGGGAGCGTTTTGACGCCTATTGTGGAAGTTAGCATTTTAGAAGAAATTTCATAAGTTTGGCTTGAAGTGCATTTCAGTGTTATCGATGTCCGTTTGGGATTCCGATTCTGTTAATAGCTCCGTATGGTGATTCAGGAGTTGGGAGCGCGATCGGAAGTGAATTCGGAGGTCCGTAGGTCATTTTGGAGTCATTTGGCTAAAGATAGAATTTGAAGGTTTTTGAGGAGTTTGACCGGAAGTGGACTTTTTGATATCGGGGTCGGAATCCGAATCTGGGAGTTGGAGTAGGTCCGTAATGACGAATATGACTTGTGTGCAAAATTTGAGGTCAATCGGACGTGATTTGATAGGTTTAAACATCAAAAATAGAAGATTGAAATTTTAAACTTCATTAAGCTTGAATCGGAGTGCGATTCATGGTTTTTGCATTGTTTTACGTGATATGAGGCTTCAAGCAGGTCCGTGTTATGATATGGGACTGAGGTGTGTGATTGGACGGGGTCTCTGGGGCCTCGGGTGTGTTTCGGGTTGTATTGCGCTCTTATTTGATGTTTCAACGTCGTTTTCTTTGGGAATAAAGGGGTACCACATTAAGCAAATGAGATCCAAATTCAGTTTGTATTGAACCATTAGATCTGTATTGTAATTACAGAGCCATATCAAAAAGAATCATCGAATTCGGACATCGTATGAGGAAGTTATGCTCATTTTTGTGTCGGGAAAAACTACTGCTTCTGGTATGGTCGCAATTGCGAACATATCCATCGCAATTGTGATGCCCAGTTCGCAATTGCGAACTTTTTGTTGCAAATGCGACCTTTTCCAGCCCTCCTTTGTTCGCAATTGCGAAGGCTTTCTTCGCTTTTGCGAGGGTTCGCATTTGCGATTGCAATTGCGAACCCTGGATCGCAAATGCGACATCTGCAGCTTGATTTTAGCTGTGTAACTCGAGTTTTTGCTTCATTTTATCATATTTTGAACCCTAGGTCCGAGAGTGAGCGATTTTGAGAGTGGATTTTCGTATCAAATCATTGGGTAAGTTCCTCTAACTATTTTTTAATTATATTTTGTGATTATACCTTAGATTTAACATCAAAATTCATGAGAATCTAACGGTAAATTTGGGGTTTTAAAGAAAAACCTAGAAATTGAGATTTTTGGATTTTGACCACGATTTTGGGTATGGAATTTAGAGAAAGTTATATATTTGAGTTTGTGAAGCTATGGGTAAACTTATTCTTCAAAAATTTTGGAAATCCTGGCTCGTGGGCCCAGGGGCGTTTTTGTTAACTTTCCGAGCGGGATTAGAAATTGTTATAAATTGGGTTAATATGAGTAGTTTATCGTGTATTAATGAGTTTACATGATCATTGGCTAGTTTTGGAGTATTTAACATCGATTCAAGTCTTCGGAAAGGCGTGGAATGCCGGTTTTGGGACTTCGGAGCGAGGTGAGTCTCCTTTCTAACCTTGTAAGAGGGAATTGTCCCCATAGGTGAATTAATTGGTTATGTGCTCCTATTTGTGGGGGCTACGTATGCACGAGGTGACGAGAGTCCTTGCGTAGCTACTATCATTTTATTGTCCGGGTAGTCTAGGACCCAAAAGCATGCTATACTTGGATTAATTGTAAACTTATTAAGAGCTCGAATTGCATAAACCACGTCGAATTACTAAATAAATTTCAAAAAGGATTAAATTTCTTTTCTTAAATTGTTAAAAGAGAAAGTGGCTTTTACTGAATAAATATTCCCCGATAAATTCTTAATTGGCTATCCGAGCATGTATTTCTGCGTCGCATGTATGATTCGCGAGCAGGGTGATTGTCTATTTTATGTTGACCGCGTCGCATGGATAGTTCGCGAGCGGGGTAATAGATGCATCTATGGTTCGCGTCGTTTGAAACTCGGCAGTGCACTGTTTATTTTCTGTTGGAGCGGGTCGTACGCCTCGGCATGATTTGCGCATGCTTGTATTGCTGCCTTGAACTTATTAAAGTTGTTATTCCCTTTTCATGGCTTGAGAATATTTGGATAATAATGAAAAGGAATTTTGGAAACTTCCTATAAACGAATTAATTGTTTACTTGTCTCCTTCTATTGGATTAAAATCATGTTTATAGAAATCCACGATTTAATGTATTATTGACATCATTATTGGATCACTAGTAAGTGTCGAAGTCGACCATCTCGTCTCTACTTCTTCGAGATTAGACG